GAGCCGGTGAGATTTGAACCGCTGACCTGCTGATCTAGCAGTAGCCTGCAGTGCTGCATTTAACCACTGCGCCACCTTGGCTCTTATACAGATAAACGTACTTTAAATGCCAGTGTCAGGGGTCCAAGTAATACCCCCAAGGAAAAAAGACTCCAAGGTTCGTGTTTCCATTTTATTAGAGATGTCACATTGGCACATCTGGGAAAACACGAATCTGAAAGTTTCCAGGTTTTCCCCACCCAAATGAAAGTCCAAACCCCTGCCCAGCACCCACATCCCCATCCCATGGCCCAATCAGGCCCCGTCCCCAACTAGAGATGCCTCCCAGTCACACCCCTCCAGGTGCAGGGCAAGGAGTCCTTGACTCTCTGAGAAAGGAATGTTATATATAATCTCCCATACTCCATATAATCCCCCCACCCATTTTCCCACAGCATTAAATGTGGCAGGCCCAATGCAGAAGATGGCTTCCAAGCCGGACAACCAGCTGTTGAGAACCACAGGAAGGCTAGCCATTTCTACTGCTGTCTATAAGCTCTCTCAGTCCATGCGGTTGGCCATTTGAATTCTGGAATTTCTGAGTCCAGCCTGGAATTTCTGAGTCCAGATGGGCACATCTGGTGTTCTTCTATTGAGAAGATGGGTTATCTGGTCACTTTGCACAGAAGGGCCGAGGAGGAAGTGCCACAGCTGCCTCTAAGCCTTTGAAACTCAGGTCCAAGGTAGAGAGATGGTGCCCAAGGCCCTTTGACTTTCATCAGATGGAAACATGTGCTGGCAAACACAAGTTGTATTACGGGTGTTGTGTAGTTTGCTAGAGAACATGCAAAGGTAAGCTTGCCTCCTTGATTGCGTTGTGTAAATATTTGCTATGTTCTCTCTTCTATTAGGCCTCCGGTATTTCAGCAGCCTGTCATTTTCCTTGGTGCAGACGTCACTCACCCACCAGCTGGAGATGGGAAGAAGCCATCTATTGCTGCTGTGAGTAAACCAGGCATCCTTCACATTCTGTATAATTAAAATTGAAAACCCGATATGGCATTAATATTGCACTATACAGTAGAATTCAATAAAGTTACTGCTCTGGGATAGAAGCTGTTTTTCAGCCTATTTGTCCATGTTTTTATTGTCCTGTACCGTCTGCCAGATGGTAATAGTTCAAAAAAAGGCTGCCTAGGATGAAATGGGTCTTTAAGAATGTTTTGAACTTTCTTAAGGCAGCGGGAGGTATAAAGCTCTTCCAAAGAGGGGAGAGGGCAACCCATGATCCTCTGGGCAATGGCGTTGACCCTCTGGAGCCACTGTCCTATCTGCCACTGTGCAATTGGCAAATCATACACAGGTGCAGTGAGTTAAAATACTCTATGGTGCAGCGGTAGAAGGTCACCAGCAGTTTCTCATTTGGTTTCCTGAGAAGTCTCAGGTAGTATAATCTCACCTGCTTTCTCTTTTTTCTTTGTTAACTTTTATTTAAAACATTAACATACAAACTCCAGAAAGGAAAAGAAAAAGAAACAAAAATTCAAACATTAAAAAAATGGATGTTATAAACACCCAAAGGACAAAAACATGTATATTATCCTCCCCTAGTTGAATGCTGCTGGATATATTGCAACGACGTTAGTTTTGCCTGCATTTTCATTAAGATATTTGTGTTTTATCTGACATTATTTTTCCTACTTATCCATCATTTGTTCCCCCATCCCTTGTCCAAAATATTTCTGAAGAAGTCTTCTCTTGAAATTGCCTTAAAAGCACTTCTTAATTCTTTAGAATTGCCACTTCCCAAGCAATAGGCTGTTGTGGCCTGCCAACAGCCAGCAGAGCTGGCAGCAGATTCGGAGAGTGAGGAGGTTGGGGAGGAACATGGGCCAGTCCTGGAGTCTGGGGAANCAAACATCTGTGGGGCAGAAGAACAGCTGGAGCCTGTTCTCAGTGTGTGCAGGCACAGAGTTGCCAGACAAAAGGACAGCTGAGCAAGGGCCGACTTGGGAGTAAGGCCACAGGTGGATGATGAATGGCCCCTCCCAGAGGAAATAAAAGAGGAGCAAAAGGGGAGTTTGCAGAAATTTGCACAATTAGTTCCCTTCATTGGTTCTTGACTCTCTGAGACTCCTTGTCAAGTTTTCAAGATATCAGCCTGGCAGCTCTCCAAGCCAGATAAGGTCTGTGACTGTAAATTGAAAGACTTTGCTAGATGTGAATGAGTAGAATTCACATTAAATTAATAAAAGGGGTATTTGTCAGGACCAGGAGTTTGCTTCATGCTCTTGGGAAGCCTAGGCCAGACACAGACTGGCTGGGAATTCTGAACTTATAAGCCACTTCACCTGTTGAACTACTACAGGCTTTATTTCGGTTGCAAAAAAGGAGGAACATTACTTAAAGTTGCTGAATGCTAAATTCTATGGTCCGCTTTTTTTTTAAAACAAAAAACATCCTCGCTTTCTTCCCCAGGTTGTAGGCAGCATGGATGCCCATCCGAACCGCTACTGTGCCACTGTGAGGGTCCAGCAGCACCGCCAAGAAATAATTCAAGACTTGGCTGCCATGGTTAGGGAGCTGCTGATCCAGTTTTACAAATCAACTCGATTCAAGCCAACGCGGATAATTTTCTATAGAGACGGTGTTTCCGAGGGGCAGTTTCAACAGGTTCTGTTCTTGCTTTCCTTTTCTTGGACTTAGACTAACTTTATTGTCCCTTTGAATGTACACTAATCAGCATACATTAAAATGAAATTTTGTTGCATACAGCACCACCTCCAATCAGTGATGGGATTAAGCCAGTTCGCACCTCTTCGGGAGAACCGGTCATTAAGTTTATGAGCGGTTTGGTGAACTGGTTGTTGGAAGAAATCATTAGGGCAGAGAACCGGTTGTTAAATTATTTGAATCCCACTACATAAACAAAATACTGTAAATAAATAAATNTTCCTCCCCAACCTCCTCACTGTCCGAATCTGCTGCCAGCTCTTCTGGCCACTGGCGGGCTACAACAATGGCTCTGAACTGTGTTATAATACTGTTAAAAATCAAGACAGAAAAAGTGTTTCCTAATATTTTTCTTTCAACGGCAGATATACTCCAGTGGGCCGATCTTTTTTTACTGCATCCGAAGGATGTTCGAATCCTCTGGGAGGTGGCAGAGAAGTCTGGTTTGGATTCCATCAGTCAGTCAGGCCTTCCCTGTGGAAAATGATGCTGAACATCGATGGTAGGTTATTTCTTTTATCTGCCTTTGGCTGATCTTGTTTTAGTCACCTGGAAGGGCTGCAGCGGAATAAGACCTGAAGGGTATCCGAGAGTCGAACAAAAAAGCCACTTTGGTATTATTGATTTTTTTGTGTTTTCCCTTTTATTTTTAGTCTCTGCGACAGCATTTTATAAGGCCCAGCCAGTGATTGAATTTGTATGTGAAGTTCTTGATTTCAAAAGTATTGAAGAACAACAGAAACCTCTGACAGATTCCCAAAGGGTTAAGTTTACCAAAGAAATTAAAGGTAAGACAGGAGAAAAAGAGTTTGAAATAAAACTTACACAACCTTTTCTTCTCTTGGGTGATGACTGCACAATTTGTCAAACATGGTGCTGCCCCATTTTTTTAAAAAAGATCTTCTAATAAGCATTTTACCAATGACACCTCTTAACTCTGCAGAAAGGGGTTTTTAAGATGCTTTATTTCAGTGCATGGGTTTCCAGGTTTTCTTACAAACTGCACACAACAGATTGACTTCAAAGTTCAATGTGACCTTAGGGGTTAAATGTTGAAAGGACTGACCTGGAGTTGTGATGTTGTATAAAATGGCTGTCCAGAGGTGGTCCTTGACTTACAACTACAATCAATGCCAGAATATCTGTTGGTTAGAGAGATGCTAGTTAAGTGAATTGCACCCAATTTTATGGCCTGTTTTGTCAGGGTTATTTAGAACATTACAGTGGAGTTGTTAAGTGGATCACATTGTCATTAAGAGGAAATAGCTCCCCCCCCCCCCAAGTTTGCTTGTTGGAAACTGGCGAGGTCGCAAATGGCAATCCCACCTGAATACGTTAACAACTGTTGCAAAAGTTTGATCATGTGACTGCGTGGATGCTGCAATGGGTAGGATTCAGCCAGTTTGCAATGATTTTGCATCTTGTTCGCCGAACCAATTGTTGCAAGGACAGGCTGGCCCCGCCCACCCCTCCCCCCCCAGGAGTCTCCACTTCATTTGTAAATGTGAATGCTCGGTTATACGTTCCTTCCTCCCCACCCCTCCCCAAAAAAAGGCCATTGTAACAACAGTTGTTAAACGAATGGTTGTAAGTTGAGGACTACCTGTACTGTTCTCCCAAAGGTTTTTTTTTTTCAGGAGAAAACTGGAGCTTCTTGAAAAAGCCCAGCTGCCTCCTGAAAAAGCACCTTTGGCATAAGCCTTGGATGACTGAGAATCGCTACAGACTTTTTTCACTGCCCTGTTGTGACTTCTCACAATCTACCGGTGGGAGAATAATGGTTCAATTGCTGTGTTACCAGGTCTTAAGGTGGAAATCACTCACTGCGGACAAATGAAGAGAAAATACCGAGTATGCAACGTTACGAGAAGACCAGCAAGTCACCAAACGTAATATTGACGTTTCGTTTTGTCTTTTGCGGTTATCTAAAAATAACCATTACACCTATTGTGTTTCATATTCACTGCCTCGGATCTTACATCTCCTCAGTAGACAAATGATCAGGCAAATAATGATGATGATGATGATGATGATGATGATGATGATGATGATGATGATAATATAATAGGAACCACCTTTGGTGGGAAGGTAACAGCGTTCCGTGTGCCTTTAGTGTCTAGTCATGCCGGCCACATGACCACGGAGACGTCATCGGACATGGCTCTTCGGCTTTGAAATGGAGATGAGCACCGCCCCCTAGAGTCAGGAACGACTAGCACATATGTGCGAGGGAAACCTTTCCCTTTCCCTTAACTGCGAACTATTATGCCATCATTAATAGTCAGTTAGCATTGAATTGGCTTTTTCAAGGCAGAGAAGGGCAACCTGTAAACCAGGGCTCCCCAATTCTTTGGGCTGTAGACCGGTACTGGTCCGTGCCCTGTTAGGAACCGGGCTGCACAGCTGGAGGTGAGCAGCTGGTGAGTGAAACTGATGTGTGAGATTTATATTGCACACTTTCCCCCCCTCACCCCCAGTCTGTGTAACCATTGTCTTCCATGAAACTGTTTATTCTCTGGTGCTCTAAACCAGTGTTTCTCAACCGTGGCAACTTGAAGATGTCTGGACTTCAACTCCCAGAANGCCGGTGAGATTTGAACCGCCGAACTGCAGATAGCAGTCAGCTGAAGTGGCCTGCAGTACTGCACTCTAACCACTGCGCCACCTCGGCTCTTTTAGGACTGCTAGGACTACCATAAAGTGGGTGTGTGGGGTCTCTAACAATGCTTTGAGCTCTAAGCACACAGTGCTTATAAGCAGCATCCTGAATAACGGGAAGGGAGCTTCCTATAATCTCCACTGTCCTCACTGCTCTCTGTATGGGCTTTCTATCTGAGGCACTGCTGCCACCAAACCAAACAGGGATGCAGTTTGTGCCTCGTGCCTCTGTAAAAAGTAGCCAGGATAACAGGAGAAAGATGTGCTCTCCTCATCTGACCCAGGAAATGCAGACGCTGGTTTTCCCGCTTCACTCACTTAAAACGGGCCAAGATTCACTTAACAAATGTTTCACTTAGCCACAGACATTTTGGGCTCCAATGTGATCGTACGTTGAGTATTACCGGTGCCTTAAAAAAAAAAGTTGGCTCCTTGTAAATGCAGGAGCATTTCTGGTTGGAGTTTGACCTAGAGCCTCCCTCCTCTAAACTATCTGAATTCAGTGCTGTCTAAACCAGATCTTCACAATGAATGACTGCAGGGTTGTGATAATAAGATTGTGTTTTGCTCAGCAGAGTAGCATGTCTGGACGCATATACATTTTTATTATTGCTGTGTCTTTTTAATCCCAGATCTTGCCAGTTTAATCTCATTAAGTCAAGAATGTGGCTCTGGCTCTGGTATTTTTGCGTTGCTTGAGATCACCTGTTTTGCTGCAGGTGATGAAGAATACCTGAAGGAAAATCCAAATAAATAAACAAGGTGGGAGGAGTTTTCTGATTGGTAAGGTTTCAAACGATCTTTTCCCTCTCCCTCCTGTTTTTCTTGGCGCAGGTTCTTCATCATGAATTGCTGGCTATCCGAGAAGCCTGCATTAAGCTAGAAAAAGATTACCAGCCAGGGATTACCTTCATTGTGGTGCAGAAGAGGCATCACACCAGACTATTTTGCACCGACAAAAATGAAAGAGTAAGTATTGCATATTTTGGTGGGGAGGGGAGAGAAATTGGCAAGTGATGAAATTAGAAATCTCTTAAGTTGCCAACATGCCCTATACAAGGGGTCCTCAACGTTTTGGACCTGAGGGACCACTAGATTCATAATTTTACATCCCGCGGACCACTAATATGATCTGCCTAATGACTGTCTGAGTGGGCGTAGCTAGGTGATCATGTGACTGGGTGTGTGTGGCCAACTTGATGTCACTCACGTCAAGGGCCTCGCCAGCCTCTACTCGCCCCTCCCTTCCCAGCCACTACTCGCCTGCCCACCTTTGGGCCCCAACAGGAAGCAGTTGTTGGAACCAAGCAGTCACCACGAGAAAGAGTTGGCAAAACAGCTCAGTGCAAATTGGATCTGACTGAGGAGGAGGTTCAGCAGAAGCACCTCACTGAGGACTAGGTGCATAGGCTTTCCAAGCAGAGGGAGGACCTGCGGGAATGCAAGGCCAGGTACCGGCACCTGGAGGCTCAGTGGGCTGAGATGGTGAGCCAGTTCCAGGCCATATTGCAGTCCCACTGAAACAAGGCCCTCCGGCTCTTCGCCATCAGCGGCATTTCCCTGTAGCCTTCGCCCAAAGCCNGCCTCTGTATTTGAGGACCCAGACTGTGGGGGCAATATGCTGACTCTGTAAACCGCTTAGAGAGGGCTGAAAGCCCTATGAAGTGGTATATAAATCTAACTGCTATTGCTATTGCTATTTCAGTTATGAATTACTTTTCTACATTAACCTTGGAAACGTCTGATCTAGAACGATCATCAACTATAACCCAATGCAGGTTTGATAGCTTAGTGTGATATTTTCTTCTAAAATGTCACAAGAAGAAAAATTTATACATGGAGTATCGAAATGTATCTTCCTGTACAGTCTATTCCTCAAAAACAGAAGGCTGCATGTGAGAATGCCAGAATTCTATCTATTTTAGAAGATAGTTGGATTGTAAAGAAGTGATTGAAGGGTGGCATTATGATATATATCTTGATCGGCAGCTGTTATATCATAAATTCTTAGTGGTGGAAGATTAAATTTTACCCTTAATTTAGAACGTATCTGCCTCCCATCGACAACAGACAATGAGTTACTTTTTTAAAAATTATATAGAAAAGCATTTATTGTATTGCAGATATACTGTGCTTCAGTTAATTTTCAAAGTAATTAATACAAAAGAGGAGATAGATCAAGATGTATACACAAAATACTAATTACAAGATTTATAAAATGGCAAGAACCCAAAGTCTTAAAACTGCCTTAGAAATGTCAATCACATGACAATAATAATTATTTTTTACATTGATTGTATTTGTTTTATATGGCTTTCCATTTCGAACAAGTAACTCTGAGTGAGTAGCTAATTAAGAACACGTCTTGTTGAAAAAGGGGTGTTTTGGGGGGGGGGGACTTGGCAAAAAAATACCCCAATCAAGGAACTACCAACTCAGACAGACAAGCTAACAGTAAACAACAGCCCAATAAAGCGACCACCAAGTCCACTTTTACCCACACTGACACTGCAAGCCACTAGTAAATAAAAAGAGCCCTATACGCTGATGATGTAACCTAGATTGGTAATAAAATATCTGCAAGAAAACAGTCACGCTCAGTGACTATCAATGACTCCTCATTTCAATCCCGAGCCACAAATATTCTCTTCTATAGAAAGATACATAGGTGTCATATGGCCCATGGCCTTCTCCTTGATCGTCCCCTGCTTTATCTCAGAGGGGCATTATGAGAAGATGCTCTGACAAAGAGATTATAGTTGGGGTTAAGCAGTCTTAAGTCGCTATCAGAGCCATCACCTTGATCTGTTTAACAGCATCTCTTCATTTCTCTTGACTCGGCAGCCGAAGTGAAGCGGGTCGGTGATACGGTGTTGGGAATGGCCACGCAGTGTGTACAGATGAAAAATGTGCAAAGGACTACCCCGCAGACACTTTCTAACTTGTGCTTAAAGATCAATGTCAAACTAGGAGGAGTTAATAACATTTTATTGCCACAAGGAAGGTAAGGATTTTCAGGGTATGAGTAAGTACCCCACTGGTCCTGTGCTGGTGACGTTGGCTGAACAATTGGTCTAGGTACCCCATTTGCAGTTAATGTGAGATTTTTTTTTTAAAAAAAAATCCAAACAAATCATTCTTTTCAACATGGGGTAATTTTATCTTGCAGCATTTCTTAAAAATAAAAAAAGCTTGGTTTTTGTGGTTAGATCTTAATTAATGCCTTATAACAAGGCAGAATCCCAAACTTTTGAATTGTGTTTTGAAGGATCAAGCTGGAAGTTGTGAAGGCCTCTTGTTTATGTTGCAACCTTCCAGTTGTGACTAGTTTTGTGGCTGAAGGAGGGGGAAGGCAAAATAATTATAAATTTCATTCATGGCCGGGTTGTTGACTCTGAAAAAAAGAATAACGACTCAAGACTTAAAACTATTACATATTGTGTTGGTATAACAATTCGAACAAGGAAGAAGGGAGAGAAAAATCTCCCATTGGCCCTCAAATTGTGCTACTTTACAATTTAACCATGGTTTATTGACAGCACCATAATTTGACTTGTCAGCTAGGAACAACTACAGCATATAACTGTAGAAATACTTAAAAATTAAGGAAGATGGACTTTTAACGGGCAACGTTTTGAATGAGTCTGAAAATCAGCCATTGATCAGCTGATGCAAGGTATAGGCCGAGAAGGGAATGTTACTTATATTGGCCACCTTGAGTTATTTGTCAAACAAATAAAGGCAACAAACAAACACACTTTGATTTTTTTAGGGGGGAGGGGAGAGGGGTCTACAAACAACTGGCCAGCTGCATTCTTCACTGCTTTTAGCTTCTGGGCCATTTTAAAAGATAGTCACATGTCACTGCCATAGTTTTGTTTAGCAATAAGTTGGAAACGGATGGAGGAATTGTAGGCACCTCAGAGGCTCAGTTACAGTTCCCAGCAGTCCTCATGGCTGGCTGTCGTTCTGTAATGCACCAGCATCTCTCCATCCATAAGCCAGAGCATAAATGACTTGCAACTTAACACTTAACGCTGGTGTAAAAACAAACGCTCTTGGCTCCCACTGCTTTCCCTCCGTCATTTAGTTCTAAGCCGAGGCGAACCTCTGTTTTCCACGCCAAGGTGGCGTAATGGTTAGAATGCAGTACTGCAGGCTACTTCTGCTGACTGCCGGCTGCCTGCAATTTGGCAGNTCGAGACTGGGTTGAAGCTGAAGCCACGCCTCTGGGCTCCTCTCCTCTGACTCCAGTTTCAATGCAGTATGCGCTCCCCGAGATCCCGAAAACAAGTCACAAAGGAGACACCTCCACCCCCCCAATACTGTCTATCTAACCTAGGGTGGGAACTGGCCCATCCTGCAAACACCTCTTAAAATAACAGTTCAGGTAAGACCAACTGTCATTTTCCAGAGTGGACCATCCTGCAAACCCACTCTGGAAAAATACTCAATTGACATATGGCTAGCCCTGTTGAAGCTTCGTAGTATTTGATCAACCCTTTCAATGAGATTGCAGGTCGTCCTTGACTGATGACTGGTCACTTAGCAACCATTCGAAGTTACGACAGTTTTCAAAAAAAACCACAGTTCTTATGACCAGGAGTCAATGTTTTGATGTCAAAACCCCCCCCCCCGGCACCTCCTGTGGTCATGTGATCACATTTTAGATATTCATCAACCAACCCGCATCCTGTGGTCATGTGACCACAATTTATAACCTTTTTTTTGGCTGGAAACTGGCATTGTTTCCAGTTCCCAGCTAAAAACACATGTCGGGTTCAGTGGATTTGAAGTCTACCTGTATAGTCGAAGAAGCAGCATGCTATATATGATTTTTTCCCCACATACTTTGACAGTAACCTTTTGGCTGTGTTGTTTTAGGTATGCAATATAGTTGCAGGACAGAGATGTATTAAGAAGCTGACAGACAATCAAACTTCTACTATGATTAGAGCCACGGCAAGATCAGCCCCAGATCGTCAGGAAGAGATCAGCAAATTGGTGAGCATCAACCCTATAAGGTAGACCGGACTTGGAAACAGATACCAGGCTTAATAGCAGTAACTGTGAGAGGGGTCTTGGAGTCGTAGTGGTCATTTGGCTAAATATGAGGCAGCAGTGTGCGGCAGCAGCTAAAAAAAGCCAATGCAATCCTAAGTTGCATTAACCGAGGGATACAATCAAGATCAAGTGAAGTACTAAAATTAATTGATAAAGCCCTAGTAAGACCACACCTAGAGTACTGCATCCAGTTTTGGTCAACACACTATAAAAAAGATGTTCAGACTCTAGAAAGGGTGCAGAGAAGAGCAACCAAGAGGATTAGGGAACTGGAGGCTAAAACATACAATGAACGTTTGCAGGAACTGGGCCTGGCTAGTCTAGTGAAGAGAAGGACCAAGGGAAACATGATAGCAGTCTTCTGGTATTTGAAGGACTGTCACAGAGAGGAGGGGGTCAAGTTATTTTCCAAAGCACCTGAAGGCCAGACAAGGAATAACAGGTGAAACTGACCAAGGAGATATTCAACCTGGAAATAAGGAGAAATTTCCCGACAGTGAGGACATTCAACCAATGGAACAGAAGTTGCCTTCGGAAAATGTGGGAGCTTCATCACTGGAGGCTGGAGATTGGACTGCCATTTGTCAGAAATGGTGTAGGTTCTCCTGCCTGGGTGGGGGGTTTGAATATATGACCTACAGGGTCCCTTCCAATTCTGTTAATCTGTAATTAACCCATTTTCTTCTGGGCTTATGGATTATTACGATGAACTATGTAGAGCTGAAGCTACTTTTATCAGAAGAGCCACAGGGACAGAGCTGGTCCGAATGTTCTTCCCTTCTTCCTTCTTTTCTCCTCAGGAGGATTAAGGGGTGGGGATTGTCTGAGATGTTTTTGTAAACTACTTTCTTGGCCTGGGTTCAAATGTTGTTTATCTGCTCGTTGCCTTGGTACTGGAGCTTTCCTCTGTCCCGCAAGGCCATCCTCTGGGCTCCCTGCAGTGGCTCCTTTCTGTCCCTTATTGGAACAGTGGGAAGGAGACCGATTGGCACAGGTGTATGTTCCATGTCTGAAGGAACACCACAAATGTCTTCCCATAGTTCCATTCCCAGTGGTCAGTTTTTTAAAGACAACATTTCAGCCAGGAGCAGGAGAGAAAATTATGGTATTGGGAGGCTGAAGATTAGAGAGAAAGAATAGAGAAAAACCAAGACTGTTGTTGCAGACATAGAACAGAGAATAACAAAATTGGAAGGACCTTCTTGGAGGTCTTCTAGTCCAACCTCCTGGTCGAGCAGGAGACCCTATACCTTTTCAGACAAATAGTTGTCTAATCTCTTCTGAAAAATTTCCAGTGCTGAACCTCCTACAACTTTTGAAGTCAAGCTGTTCCACTGGTTAATCGTTTCTCCTTAGTTCTAGATTTCTTCTCCTTGATTACCGTATTATTCGGAGCATAAGACACACCATTTTTCCCCATAAAAGAGAGTGAAAATTTGGGTGCGTCTTATACAATGAATGTAGACCCACCCACCGGCCCCCACCTTTTGGCCTCTGCCTCCCAGCAATTTACCATATTTTTCAGAGTATAAGATGTACCAGAGTATAAGACGCACCAAGATTTTGAAGAGGCAATTAAAAAAAAAAGTTTTTGCAATCTGTAGACGTCCCATAAATGGCCCATTTTTCATGAAAACGGTCCTGTTTTTTGCCCCCAAAAGGGCATGCATAGCCTTTAGGCGGTTTATAGTGCTGCTGGGGGCTGGGGGGGGGGCAAAAGCGAGCAAAAAATGGCCCGTTTTCGTTAAAAAAAAGGCATGTGTAGCCTTTAGGAGGCTTATAGAGTGCTCCTGGGGGCTGGGGAGGGCAAAGGCTATGCACGGCCATTTTGGTGAACAGGGCGGGGTTTTGGAAGGGCCAAAATGCTGTATTCAGCTTTTGTATAAGATGCACCCAGATTTTCACCCTCTTTTGAGGGGAAAATACGGTACCTCTTGCAGCAAATGGGAAAATGGGGCTTGCAAAGCTGCAATAGGCTACAGCAATCCCTGCAGCCTGTAACAGCTGATGATTTGGAGGCTCAAGCTGAAATTGAAAGTGAAACTCACTGTTTGCTCCTTGAGGCAAATTGCTGGGAGGCAGGGGCAGATTTTGTTTTTTCTTGTGCTAATCAGGCGGTTTGCTACAAGGAGATAAATCAATAACTATAAATGCCTATAGAATGTTCAAATTATTAGTTGTATTTTTTAAAGACTGCTTTATTATTGTTCTAAACAACAACAAAATGAAGAAGCTTTTTAAAATAAATGCTGAAGAGGCCCAGTGCTATTGTACCTTCTTTTAAATAGCAGAGAATAACTATACTTCCAGAAAGCACATAAATTTTAACAGCATCTGTACAAGTGTAATCTGAAATGTAACACTACAAACAATGTATATTGTCTGTACTGTTTGCTGTTTGTTGCAAAGAGGCAAATTGCTGGGAGGTAGATTTCCCCCCCTTTTATTCCACCACAAAGCTAGGTGTGTCTTATACTTCGGAGCGTCTTATACTCCGAAAAATACAGTATTTTCCATCCGTTGCTTCTTGTCTTGCCTTCAGTTGCTTTGGAAAATAGGATGACGTTCTCTATATCTAGGAGCCCCTCAAATATTGGAAGACTGCTATCATGTCTCCCCCAGTCTTTGTTTTCATTAGACATAGATGTACCCAATTCCTGCAACCGTTCTTTGTATGTTTCATCCTCCATCCACCCTAATCATCCTTGTTGCTCTTCTCTGCACTCTTTCCAGAATCTCAACATCTTTTTTTTTATTGTGATGAGCAGAACTGGATGCAGACTTAAGTTTAAAAACTTAAAAAGAGTTCAGAATTGATTTTCCATTGCAACTAAAGCAACCCTAAATCAATTTACTTTAGATGTTTGTTTGTATGAAATATTTTTTCCCTGCCTCCTAGATGCGAAGTGCAAGTTTTAATACCGACCCTTTCGTTCGGGAGTTTGGAATCATGGTGAAAGATGAAATGACGGATGTCACGGGGAGAGTGTTACAGCCGCCTTCGATTCTCTACGGAGGCCGGGTACGTCTGTCATCAGGACTTCCAGTTCCCATTTTGCCTGTTGGTTGTGGCCCAGAGTAAGAGTTGGCATGACGGTTTCCCATGATTTCAGATGGGCTATGTAGTGTGACTCAGTAGGGGACGCGGTGGCTCAGTGGCTAAGGCGCTTGTCGATCAGAAAGTTCGGCAGTTCGATTCCCTAATAGAGTGAACTCTCATGACTTGTCCCAGCTTCTGCCAACCGAGCAATTTGAAAGCATGTAAAAAATGCAAGTAGAAAAATAGGAACCACTTTGTGGGGAAGGTAACAGCGTTCCATGCGCCTTTGGCATTTAGTCATGCCAGCCACATGACCACGGAGACGTCTTCGGACAGCGCTGGCTCTTCGGCTTTGAAACAGAGATGAGCACCACCCCCTAGAGTCGGGACCGACTAGCACATCTGTGCGAGGGGAACCTTTACCTTTATGTAGTGTCAAGGTCGGTGGCTTGCAGATGTTCTGGGGTTTAATGCTCTGTATAAAATGCGCAGTTTCCACAGCCAGGAATTACTTCCCAGTGGAAAAGCCCTTAATAAGGGGAACCTGTCTGTCCACTGGGAATGTCCTGAGGGGATCAGAACAACTGAAATGAAGGTGCCCTTGAGACACCTGTTCTACCTTTCCACTGTGCACTTTTTGCACTAAGGTGTTCTTTGGTCTGCAATCCATTCCACAGGTAGTCCTTGACTTACGGCCGCAATTGAGCCCCAAATTTCCGTTACTAAGTGAAATAGTTGCTAAGTGAGTTCTGCCCCATTTCATGACCTTTCTTTCCATAGTTGTTAAGTTAGTAGCAGGGTAAGTAAATCCAGCTTCCCTATTGACTTTGCTTGCCAGAAGGTTGCAAAAGGGGGATCACAGGCTTCAGGGGATGCGGCAACCGTCATAAATATAAACCAGTTGCCAAGCGTCCGAATTTTGATGATCACGTGACCATGAGGATGCTGAGACGGTCATAAGTGTGAAAAACAACCCTAAGTGCTGTTGTAACTTTCAATGGTCACTAAGTGAACAGTTGTACAGTCGAAGACCACCAGTGGGTCTGACCAAGGAGAGCTTTGACACCATGAGCCGTGATGTGGGCTGGTCTATGAACACTCCGGTGTGTTTTCCACCTTAGCATCCAGAGTATTTGACATCAAAAGACAGACGTGTTTTGAAATTGCTGCACTGTAGAGTTTTGTTTTGGGGGTTGTTTGTTTTTTTTGGCTCTGGGAAATCATTCAACTTATTTTTTCCCCCCATCTCTCTCTAGAACAAAGCAATTGCGACCCCAGTGCAGGGGGTCTGGGATATGAGGAACAAACAGTTTCATACTGGAATTGAAATCAAGGTCTGGGCCATTGCGTGTTTCGCTCCCCAACGCCAGTGCACTGAAGTTCATCTTAAGTGAGTCTGTAGTTGAGCGGCCTCTTGTTCACGTCTCCTTCCGGTTTTCCCTTGTCCTGCTGTGGTCACCTGGTGTTTTCTCTGCATCCCTTTGCAATAAATACAATATTTAGAATAGAATTGGACCCTGGAGGTCTTCTAGTCCAAACCCCAGCTTAGGTAGGAAACCCTACACTACTTCAGACAAAGGGTTATTTATCCAACATCTTCTTAAAAACTTCCAGTGTTGGAGCATTCACAACTTCTGGAGGCAAGTNGGCCAGTGTCGACTGGCAACTCCCCGGGGGAGGACCTTCTCTGTGGCTGCTTCGGCCCTCTGGAACAATCTCCCCATTGATATCCGGACCCTCACCACCCTTCCGGCTTTCCGCAAAGCACTTAAGACCTGGCTGTTCCGGCAGGCCTGGGGCTGTTGAATTTTCCAGCCCCATCCGAGGTTATGACTGTTGTGGTTTTTTAAATGTGTTTGTTTTTTTATTTTTATTCTGTACCCCCCTCCCTTTTTGATTGTTAGCCGCCCTGAGTCTCTCGGGAATAGGGTGGCATACAAACTGAATCAATCAATCAATCAATCAATCAATCAATCAATCAATCAATCTATGTTTCTAGGGTCACCTGAATAGTGCTCCTGGTTCCTGTAGTCTGAAATCCCCCCCACCCCCTACCCTCAGTATCTTGCCAGAGCTGAAGAAGCTTCTTGGATGAGAAGCAAAATGTCTTCAAAGAAAAAACAGGAAAGCCCAGTTGCACCTTTGGGTATAGATTGGATCCTTTGATTTTCCAGAACGTCACAGAACTTGTTGGTTACTTTGTTGTTTCTTCAAAATAGAAATGCTTCTTCTGGGCAATTTTGGGAAGTCCGGAGTGCCAAAAGACAGGTGACCTGTGGAGAGATGGAGACCTTTCCTTAACCTTGTTTGTGCTCCATTTCCCAGGGCACAAGCAGACCGTCTCATTACCATGTTCTCTGGGATGACAATCGCTTCTCTTCAGACGAACTCCAGATCCTCACTTACCAACTGTGTCATACTTACGTCCGGTGTACTCGATCTGTTTCCATCCCTGCGCCAGCCTACTATGCACACCTGGTGGCCTTCAGAGCCAGGTATCATTTGGTGGATAAAGAGCATGACAGGTGAATAATACAGCTGGGATTGAGGGGTACGGAGGGATAATTACAGTCATTTTTTCAGTAAACGCTTAAAAAGTGACTTATGACCAGTGTTTCACTCTTACGACCGTTGCAGCGTCCCCGTAGTCACATGATCAAAATTCAGTCGCTTGGCAACCGGCTCATATTGATGACAGTTGCAGTGTCCCGGGGTCACATGATCCCATCTTGCGACCTTCTGGGAAGCCAAGTCAATGGGAAGCCAGATTCACTTAATAACCATGTTACTAATGGCGGCAGTGATTCATTTAACGACTGTGGCAGGAAAGATCACAAAATGGGGCAAAACGCACCTAAGAACCGTCTTGCTTAGCAACGGAAATTTTGACCTCCATTGTGGTCATATGTTGAGGACTCTGTAGCCATCTAAAAGGAAGTCTAACTATGAGGCTGAACGACTCATTCTGGGAAGAAGCAACTCAAATTCAGAGCTCCTTTTCTGTCCAGGCAGAGTACAAAAATAAAGAAAACAGAACTGGTTGCCTCTAGAGTTTTTCTTTTTAATGTTTTAATGGGGTTTTATAGTTCTAAAATGCTTATTAATTTCTAGTTGGGAGCCGCCGAGAGTTAGTTGAAAGATAGATGGCTATATAAATGCTTTAAATAAACTAACATAAGATAAAATACAGGTAGTCCACAACTTGACAACAGTTCACTTAGTGTCCGTCCCAAGTTACATCGGCACAGAAAAAAGTGACTGATGACCATTTTTCACCCTTACGACCACTGCAGTATCCCCGTGGTCACATGATCAAAATTGTGGTCGTAAGCCAAGGACTAGTTGCAAAATAATGAAATAAAAATACGACGGTCTTTGCTGAAAAAAAGGGAGACCAATTTTTTGGTTCTCCCCAAATAAATCTGCATCAAATTGTATAATATTAACGACAGCCTAAAATGTTTAACATGTAACCGTGCTCCAAACCCATATTTTTGAATACATGGATTTGAGTCTTGGTATCCCAAAGGTTCTTTTTTTTAATTCAGGACGCAATTGTACTTTCTGGTTTTTCTTTGAAGCTGTTTTGCTTCTCTTCCAAGAAGCTTCTTCAGCTCTCACTGGATGTTGGAGAAGGATTTATACTCCTTGCAGACAGCTGGTCATTTGCATCCTTTTTTAGAGTCGTTGAGGCCATCTGGAGCTTTATCTGTGTTGTCAACTGTCCCCTGAGTTGTGCAAATGAGCGTGGGGCCTCCTTGGAACTGTTTCACACTCATTTGCACTATTCAGGTGACCCTGAGGACACAGACAAATCTCCAAGCGGTCTCAACGGCGCTCAAAAAGGTTTGCAAATGGCCAATATAAATCCTTCCATTTTCCATCATCCAGTCAGAGCTGAAGAAGCTTCTTGGATGAGAAGTGAAACATCTTTGAAGAAAAACCAGGAAGTCCAGTTGCCTCATGAAAAAGCGCCTTTGGGACAACCGTGATCTGGATGATGGAGAATTTCCACAGACATTTCAGTCTTGGGTTTAAACCTGCGTTGTTGTTGTTGTTTTTTCTCCCCCCGCCCCTCGCCCACCAGCGCCGAAGGGAGCCACACTTCCGGGCAGAGCAACGGCCGCGATCACCAAGCTCTCGCGAAGGCTGTCCAGGTCCACCAAGATACTTTGCGCACCATGTACTTTGCTTGACATCTGGCCGTGTTGAGGAACTCAGTTCTTCTGAGTTGGATTCACAAGAGACCAGCTGCACTTAGACCAACAGTTGCCCGAGCTACCGCGAACAGCCAGCAAAGGAGTGATGCATCTTTATTTTTAAATATTCGGGGGTGGGGGAGGGAGGAGGGGGATGGTGATGATGATGATGATTGTGATTCTATTTGCAAGAAAGCTTTTCATCCAGAATTTCAGACTTGAGTGTACAAAATATATATATATATATATTGCACAGCTTTTAAGACATGTGGATATGCCAAAATCAAAAAAAAAAAAAGCTGCTTGTCGGGAGAAATGAAACAAACAAACAAGCAAAATTGAAAACCCACGTTTTCTAATTAACTAGAGCTGTGATCTCAGGGCTAAAAACAACACTTCTCATTTTAGTTAACGGCTTTTTCAGATGCTCTTATTTGTAATAATCTGAAGAAATACCCAATTAAGATCCGATTGAACGGGCCTGGGAGGGAGATGAATTTGCTTTTATTCCTTAAAAACAAACAAAGACAAAAACAAAAAGCACTCGTTAGGATGCCAGTGAAGTCTTTGATCATTCTGGATGCATTTGTAAAGTGATTTTGTACCGAGATGCAGAAAGAGTGAGCGAAACCTTTGCTGTCTTATTGATATAAGTCTGTGAAGGTCTATGGGCAAAAAATATATATGTATTTTTGACGTTAATTCTTGAATGTCTTTCATTGTGCTGTTTAAAATTTTTTGTAGGATGAGTTACGGAATTATTTCAGTTACAAAAAAAAAAGAAGAAGTTTTATCTATACTTTTTATTAGGTCCACTGAAAGATTAATGAAGTGTGCCACTTTTTTTAAAAAAAAAGTTTATTTTTTCTTAAAAAAATAATAATAATCCATTTTGATTACTAATCATGGAGTTTGTCCTCTAGGACTGTGACACTTAATTTTCCAAAGCTTTTCTAAAGAATACGGGTCTGTGGTGATACAGTACAATCTCTTTCACTGTTATGTTTGAATTAATGTAAAATTTATATGTGTTTCACAGTATTAACATGATAGTATAGATGCTATTTATATTTATTTACTAAAGAGTGCTCGACGTAGTTCTTTTTAACATATCACAAACTGAAGAATGCTTTGGAGTTTTAAAGTGGAGAGCTTTTACGTGGACGAGAGGGATTTGGGTTGGAATTCGCCGTAACTTTTTTGCCGGTTCCCTTGTTCATTTTAACGAGGTTTGTTTATTATATCTCCTTGAAGTGAACAAAGGGGAACTGGAGCTGATGTGTTTAAAAAAAAACAACCCAACAGGATTATGCAACTACCTTGTGTGGAAGAGGAAAGATATACTTGGTGTTTATATCATTTCCCACCCCTTGTATCTTGGAAGGATTTAGGGGAATTCAGGCTGTAGTTTAGACATCAAAAGGAAGTTTTGTGGTTCTTTCAAGCACATAAATTATTGTTGTTGTTTTTCTGTTGGATCACCTGAGTCACAGAAATGGAAGGGAGGAGATCTGTGTTTGGCTGTTCACTCTGAAGAAGACAACTTCTCCAGAGGCCTGTGCTAGAAGTACAAGTTTCTCTTAACTGCACAAGATTGATCAGACCAAATATTCAAAGCTACCGTTGCACTGATGACCATGACAATAGGAACACTACTAAAACACTGGGGGTTAGGAAGCTTTCCCCACCCCCCTCCTTCCAATCTGATGGGACTTTAAAAAAAAATCTTAATTTTCCCAGGCATAATTTTTTTTAAAAAAATGTTTTTCCCCCTTGAAACTTTTCCAAGATTCAGTTTTCATTTCCTTCTGACGAGCAGTGCAGCCTGTCAGGTTTCCAAGTGAGGAAACCCACTCAAAGAAACCCATTCTGTCACTTAGAAAGATAAAGAGGGCCCCTACCTCCACTGAGTGGAACGTCGAAACTACGATTAAGCTAAGGTTGGGATCTTAGGCTTTGCTCGGAAACGATGGATGTGGGCTGAGCGAGATAAAAGCCACGGAAATACTTTTTAAGGCCCTAGTGCACATTTTATGCCAGTTCACGATGGCAGCTCTGGACAGCTGGGCCCCTCCCATCGCCAACAGAGGCACCTGAAAAACGGGTTTTTGGGTGGCCTGCAGGATGTCTTAAAAAGTTTGTAAGCTGCAACTTCCAGCTGTTTAATAGGTTTAAGAGAAGAAAAAGGCATTTAAGGCACTATTTTTTCGGGGGGGGGAGGGGTCACTCTTTTCTGCTAAGCAAGATTGTAGCATCTCCTTTTTTTTAAATGATTTTTTCAATTTTATTTTCAAAGTTAAAATGTCGACTCCGAGGGGGGGGAAAAAGGAAACAACAAACAAAGCGAAAATCTCTTTCACCTTTCCTCTTCCTCCTCCTTTTCCTCCTCTTTTTCATGGGAGGGGCATTTTTCTCTGCAGCTTTTTCAGACGCCATAAAACCTGCTGTGCGGAATTCAGGATTGAAGTATAAAACAAATGTCAAATTAGGAGATGAGAAAGGGAGAGAAACCATTTTCAAGTCCATTGTACCCCGTTTTCAAATTTAAACAAAACATCACTCAAAACTGTAAGTGTTTTCATACACATTTCTCCTTTTTGTTGTGCATTTTTCCTTACGTGCACACTTCCACAATGATAGTAGATTCCCTACTATCAGATATATTTGACATTATCTCTCTGATTTCCCACACCTTTTTCTTTTTTTGGGAAACTTCCTATAAAATTGGGAAAGAGCATCTATTAAAGGATAATAACAAATATAGTTCATGGGTAATTACGGGGAGTAAGAATTAGGAGCGTTTGAACCAAAATGTTTACTGTAAAACTTCTCTCCCTTTTTAATTCAAACAGCTACAGCAGATTTATGGGTTATGAGCTACAGAGAGTCCCTCCTACATAGGAAGAAGGCAGTATACATAAACTAGGATTTCATTCCTGCTACTAAAGTTCTGTTTTCCATCGCTTTCTTTTCCAGGCAGCACTTAAATTAATAGTTATGTTTATACTTTTTACTATTTTTTGTTTCCCCATAATCTTCAAAATGCATCAGCCAGATGGGCTAAAATGGAATCCTTTTTTTTTGGGGGGGGGGTGTCTTTCTAACTACAGCCACCTAATCTGACAGTTGTCCTGTAGTGGCTGCTAGTTAGCAACAGGCTAAAATAATAATTGGATTTAGGTGCTTCTGGACAGTGCTTTTCTTGTCTTGGTGGCTTTACCGCCAAGTTCTGATACAGATTCTTCAGTGTGCAGATAGTTCTATCCACAGCTGTTGTTTATATATGCATCATTCAGGGCCAGAAGGAATAGGATGAGTTTTTGAAAGCGTCGGATTAGTTTTTGCTCCGATAGAGAGGAGAAATGCATATCTCTTTCTCTTTTTAAACTTTCCATAACCATAATACTTTTTTTTTTTAAAGGCTTTTAATTGTTCCATATGGCAAGCGGGGAATGGAGGACGGGGTGTTACTATTATTATTTTTTGTTGTTGAAAAACTGACAATGCACTTTGAAAACACAGGGCGCTCTGAATATGCACAGGAACTGGGTTTTGTTTTTTAAAATAATAATAATAATAATTATAATATATGCAGAAACCAAAACTCCAAATGGAAACAAAAAGGATTCGACTTTCTCAGTAGTTCTTTCTTGCAGTGTTTCTTGGAAACCCCCACACTGCTATCTCAGGTGAACGATTTCATTTTTTGCAGAGATCCCAGATACTTTCCATGAGAACCAAGGCCAATAGCTTTGGGAAATGGGGTTGGTGGGTGGGTGGGTGGGATAGGAGTGGGACTATAAGGAACAGAAGTGCTTTCAAGTCTTTATCACAGGAATCATTTTAGAAGAAAACCAGCTCTAGTACCGATTCGGCTTTGTTTTACAAACCCGTCTTGTAGAGGAAGAATGTTTTGAAAAATACCTTTGATGCATTTTTTTTAACCAATTAATGGCGTGTTCATTTGTCGCCAAACAGCTCAGACTGAATGATGGGTCTGGTAGTTTGTGACCGTCTGCTTTAAGGATGCGTCTCTGCCGTGAGATTTTTGGGACTGTGCGCCACTTAGAAAGCCACCGACTCCCAACCCAGGAACTGTGACTTCTGCCTGGGGGCAAAGAGATTGCGCTGTTCACCTGGGTTTCAAGCCCGCCCAACCGTCACTTGTGAATTTTCTACTTGCCCTAATATTAAATGCTTTCGTAGATTTGAGATGCCAAAAAAAAAAAAAAGGAGGAGGAGGAGGGAAGCTTGTTCTGCTGGAACGAAAAATGAGGCGTAAAGTGGAGCCATTTTATTTGAAAAGCAAAATGTACCCTTGTTGGTCTCTTGTGCCTTTTTTAAACGCCCGCTCGTCAGGCAGAAAGCATTGAAATTGTCTGGCATCTGGGGTGTGGAGAAGGGTCAGGGGGAGGTCATCCTCTTTTGCTCAGAGCTGGATGGATGAGATAGTTTTTGTGGTGGACTTGCTGGTCAGGTTCTTTAGATGTGGGCGAAGGTATAAATCATATATAGCGGCTTTTATTTCTGTTTTGGTGCTGACTTGGTTGGGGTACGCCATACTTTCCCTTCCAAACTCTGTAGCTAAACGAGGCAAATGTCAACATTTGCCACCCGTATTTTGTGGTGCTTCACACACGACAAGAAGCCGACTTGAAGTGCGGATGGATTTTGAAGGATGCTGTCCCATTTTTCTCCCACTGTTGCGTTTTCAAATGCTTAAATTGGATCCTTTTTCTGTAACCGGTTGAGCCTGCCCTCATGCCTGAAATCCAGTGAACAAATATAGCAACGAGGTCCAGGTAGGGGTTAGAGACGGTGGGTGGTCAAAGTGTGGAAGATAGATACTGTTCTCACAGAGGTTTCTCCAGCAGCACGAAGTGAGTCCTTTTCCCGATAAACCTCTTTTATTTAATGTACAGTGAATTCCCCTCCAGCAAAGTCTTTCCTCTCCCACAGTCTTTCAAGGTAGTTCACAATTACCAACCTTGATCAGGCTTGGAGAGTGGCCAGGCCGATATCTTTCAGATGCCGC